TCAATATTAATACACTAGACAAAATACAAACCAGCTTGATCTATTGAATTATCTGCGCAAAGGACAATAGACACTTTTCAAGCTTAGATATTTCACTAGATCCTAAATTTTATTTAAAAAAGCATCAACCATCACCTGCTGGAAAGGATTGTTTGGCTGTTCCAGGATTCAACACAGGAGTACAAATTACTTCCTGTCTTCTGCTACAGATCTAAAAAGTATAAGCAACTGAAGGAAATTACAGATAACCCAGAACAAGTGATCACCTATGTGAGCCTTCAGAAGGGCAAGTTCTTTTAAGAATGAGTCATCCCCTGTGGAGTAACTTAATTTCTATTGACACTTAAAGGCAAAATTAGATTGAAAGTGATTTTGTCTGTCTAACAATTTTGTTTTTTCTACTAGATACCTAGTACCCATAGAAATCTGTCCTGCTCCACTAAAGGGAAGGACAGAGACACTGTACTGAAGCCGGCAAACACCATCTTTGCAGGCAATGTAGACCTCAGTGCATCTTAAACTATTAGAACCAAAAATAACGTGTAACAAGTGTAAGACCATCTACTACTCTCATAATACACTACTGCCTCCAACAGTCTAGCTGTGAAGATCCTTTACAACCATTGCCTGGACATTTCACTTGCAGCCTATATTCCCTTTAAAATATTCTAACATTAGCCAAGCTGAATGCTAACGATCATGTGAAACCCAATGGAAATAAAGAAACTGAAAATTGCTACATTAGAATTTTCTCTTTCTACAATAAGAAGAAGGAAAGGGGAAAACAATATGGAAAAAAACCCTTTTGTTTTTAAGCCAAAGACACCATTTTAAAGCAGAAATTACTTCTAATACACCACTGACAGCCTCAACTTGGCTGACAGCAGGAAAACTTACATACATTTTGAGTGAAGACATGAACTGAGTGAAAGAAAGTGTACAATATCTGAGCAGGAGGTATATCTGTCGTGGTCTGTACTGATGTGTTGTTTACTGTGTTTTTGCATAAAACAGACCTAACTGGATAAAGAGGACTTGTGCTTCTTGTCCCACAACAAGCAGTTGACAAGAACAAGCACAACCCAACTCTACACTCTTCAGCAATATTCTCACCGCTTTGCTGTAATACAGGATAGGATTTCACAAAAATTGGTCTAACTAGGAGCGAACAAATCAGTCAATTGCATAGTGGTCAAATTTGTTACCACAGGCATTAACTGCAATCCTACTTATTTATGAGAAACAGGCTTCCCAGGTAAAGCCCTAACAATCCAAGCTCACTCCTCCTGCAGCATTCGATCACCCACGTTGTTAGAGCAGCAAGGCAGATACCACGAGTTCCTGGCCAGCCACCACCTCCATTTCTCATAGTCACATTATCTTCTGTGTGACTGGAAAAAGGCTGGATTCTGAAACCTATCAACAACATCGTGGAAGGCAAAAGGAATTCCAGCTCCTTTTCCTTTCTCAGATCTACTTTTCTTCCTTTTCAGGAGAGAAACCAGGCTTTCCAAGCTGCTAGTACAAACATCAAGTTGCTAAAAACCAGCCAACATTGTCTCCAACTATAGTATCAGTGATGTAACTGCCATCCATGAGGGTTTCGAGTGTTGTTTTTGGTTTGTTTTTTTTCTCTAACAGAAAACCTTTGGAGCCCATAAAAGTGGAAGAGATGTAGGGCAAAGGCCAAGCAACTCCTAAGAAAAGTTATGAATGGAACTGTGCTACGAGCCTCCTTTCCTTTCCACTCCTTGTACCTGCTGGTGATCAGGAAAAAAATCTTTCAAATGTTGCAGAAACTGATCCATTATCTTTTGTGGGTTTCTTAAAATATTCTAAAAACAGAACTGAATGCCATACTAAGATTGCAGTTTTATTTCATCTCAGAGAGCACAAAACACTCTCTGTACATATACACAGCAACTCACTTCTTTCCTGAAACAAAGTTTTCATTGATCTTTTGCCACAGACTCAATTATTGTTTCTAATTATGATCAACATTTATTTAAGGTATTGTGGACTGTAAACAATCTAAACAATAAAAGCATCTGTCCATGTTGACATGAATGTCACTGGCAGGTTAGATACCTATACCAACTGCTCCCAAGAGGTTCTTTTTAAATTCGGAAAGCCCAAAGTAAATTTAAATTACAATTTACAGAATAATCTTTAAATCAGTCACCTTTTGAGGTAGTGTTATATTGAGTAGATAAAAATCAAAATCTGTCAATTCAATCCCAGGAAATCCTTCATTGTTTTAAAACATAAGCCTAAAGACACTTTTTTTTTTTTTAAGCTTCTTTCTTTTTTTAATGAAGTGGATTTGGTAAAATTCCTGGTCCTGCTTGCACCCATGGGAAAAAATAATCCTCCTCTTGTAATGTGGCAGTTATAGAAACACATGCAAAAAGAGCAGAAATCAAGACATTTTAAGACAACATTTAAAAAGATAAAAAGAAAAAAGGTCCTTGACTATGGGATACTTAGAGGATTTCAAGTCATGTTTTCCATAGCCTCACTGTAAAAATAAGCGACCTTTTCTTTCTCCTCCTCCCCACCCCAAACTACGAGGAAAACAGTCACCAAATGCACTCAGCTAGCCTCAAAGTCACACGTGCTCCATTGCAGATCTTGCTTTCAATGTCTCTTTTGTTTGATGGCTGGTGTTTCAACATCCTCAACTTGGAACAGAAAAAGGTCAGAGCAAGTCTTCTGGCATTCACAGACCTGCACCAGGCCCCGCCAAGAGAAGATTGATGCCATAGTACATTTTCCCCAGTCAAGAGAAGAGGAGCTCTGAATCTGAGACCAACTATGTTTGTCAGAGGGATCCTTCTCCCAAAGGTGTTTAGCTTTGCTGTATTCCTCTGTGAAACTTTTCTGCTGGTGCTGGTAACACTTTTGAGTTACCCCTGTGCCACGTTACTGCTTCAGTATCACAACCCAAACAGGTTACCACCAGTAAGATGTTTTATCTCTATTCCAGCACAGACCTTTTGTTTTTTTTCTTCTGCTCCTGTTTTTGCATCACCTCTTGGTTACCACCGGTGCCCTCATGCCTGACTGCTGCCCTCACTCCCCTGCCTGGGGAGGAGAGGCTGTACCATTAACCTTCCAATGTGCAAGGCCAAGGTCCGTTCCACAGATAGAGAGAAGCTGTTGCTAAAGATTCCTTAAAAGCTCTGGCACTTCAAGGCAATTGGAACTACTCAACCAGACCCGGGAGCCAAAGCTTCACCATAGCATTAATGGGCTTTTGCCCTTTTAAATTTTATAAGCCTGTCTCCTTTCTGATGCGCACAGTTTTATTCAGAGCCCTAAATGGCCATTTCATATTTAAAAGAAAGCTTGCATAGGTAGCACCCTAAAACTACCCCAGGTCATTCATCTCCCCAGCACTCCTACTGTCTCTTAGGAAACCTTTGATAGAGCATTTGTTCAGGCTGCCAAGTTAAATCCTCTTCTCTCGTGTCAATGCATTGAAAAAAGCAGCCAGAACACCAGCTTCACTCAGGCCTGCTGAAGTAAATGGAGAAAACCAATTCCTCTGGCACTACAGAGCCATTAAGCCGTTTGCAGATTATTAACTGAAGCACAAAAATACACACGGCGCACGATCGGACGACAGCGCATAGCTGTGCCTTAAGTTCGCTTCGGTCTCGACAAACTGACGATACGGCCGCGATGTGCACCAGCCCGTGCAGCTGCCGGGGCTGGTGAGCGGGACCCCGGCGATCCCAGACAAAAGCGGCTTGGCCGCGGTGCGGGGTCACGCTGCCACCGCCGGGCAGGTTCCACCTTTAGCACAGACAGGGGCTGCACTTGGAGGGGCACCCCCGAGGCGCCGCCCCGTGTCCCTCATCGCAGCCTCCGAGGCGGCACCGAAATTAAACTTTACACGTGCAAAACAAAGTTTACAGTCTAAAACCCCGATTATAGTAACAACTTCCTCCCCCCGTCTCAGGCTGCCGCACTCCTTCCCCGCTACCGCGCCAGCCCAGAGTGCTATCCAGAGCGGCGGGGCCGGCGGGGGGGGGGGCAAGAGCGTGGCTGGATGGCTCCTATTTTTATGTTTACATTCCTGAAGTGTCTTTTAACTGGCTGCCATTCCCCCTCTCCCCGCGAGCAGCTCCGCCGGCCGCCCCTGGAAGCGGCTCCCCCGCTCCCCTCGCACAAAGGCGGGCGAGCGGCGGCCGGGTCGGGTCGGGCCGGGCCGGGCCAGGCACCCCCGGCCCTCTGCCCTCGCGCCCCCTCCCCTCCGCCCGGCGGCTTCCTGGACAGATGCACCGGGGGGAGGGAGGCAGGGAGAGAGAGAGAGCGGGAGGGAGGGGGGCTGCTCCTTCCTCCTGCCTGGCGAGAGAGGCCCCGGTCCCAACTGGCTCTCAAAACCCAGACACAAGGAATTTACACCCAGGCAAGCTTCCCGGAGCCCGGAGAACAGACGAAAGCTTCCCCACGCGTCTCCCCGGCCCCGCACGGGCGGCCGGGCACGCACACACAGCCGGCCGGGCGCGCACACCCCGAGCCGCAGCCCCGGCCCCGCCGCGGGGCTCCAGCCCGCCCCGACGGCGCTCGCCTCGGCCGGGGGCAGCCGCCGCCCCGGCCCCCGCAGCCCCCTTTGTACTGGCGGCGGCTCCGACGCCCGCCCGCCTCACGCCGCGGCTGCTCCAAGTTCGCCCCGGGCCGGGTCCCCCCGCGACCCCGCGGCCGGCCCGGGAAGGGCACTGCCCGGGTAGAGCCGCTTCCCCGCCGCCGGGCCCGGCTCCGCGGCTCCCCGCCCGCCCTCGCCCCGCTCCCTCGGTGGGGACAGCCTGCCCCTTTAAGAAGTCTCCGCACATTTTCTCCCCTTGAAGAATAAATATGTATTATTTTTTTTTCTCCCTGTACACCTATTTCCCCAGCGTGGCCGCTCCATTGTTTCTGCTCCGCCGAGGCGCAACCCCTGCCCGGCCGCGAACGGGGAGGTGCGAGCAGGGAGCGCAAATAGACGCGAAACTTACCTACGGATTGCAAAGCAGCCTTGCAGCAGCAAAATAATAAGGAAGAAGGCAGGCAAAATCCTCTCTCCCCAACTGATTTGCAGCTCTACTTGGGTATTTTTAAATATATAATTTTGTTTATTCCCTTTCTTTCTTCCTTCCCCCCCCGCTTTCTTTTTTCTTCCTTCCCCCCCTTTTTTTTTTTCCCCTTGCCCACAGACAGTGAAAAGGAGCTCAATGTTAGTGGGTGAGTAAGTGAATCAACTAGCAGAGAGCACAGCAAGTTGAAGTGTCAAATTACATTGGCTATTCTATTACCAAAGGGCCATGCTTTGTGGCTGCTGGCAAAATCTGTCCCAGATTCCTATCTGAAAGGGAGCTGCCTCCTACAGGGATGTTCTTCCCTTCGTCGTCTCCCTTTCCCTCTCCCCCCGCATCACACACACACACTCCCCAAATCACACAAAGTTAAAAATCTTAGATGCGAGTTAAAATACAAATATTGTCTTACAGTGTATTTTAAGGCGGGGATTCTCGTTTTAGTCTTCCTGAATACCAGGCACTTGGAAACCCTTCCACTCTGGAAACTGAAAGCTGGAGAGTATCTACACTCCCTTCGGTGTTTTTGTATTATTAAATAGGGGAAAACCACCCTGGACCCAACACACTCTCTCAAGCATGAGGTGCCTCTGTCTCTGTCGTCTTCACGAGAGAATTTTTACGGGCATGGAAGGAACTACCGGGCGGGCAGGGGGATTACACGGGAACGCCGAAAGATCCCGCTGCTCCGTCTACTGCGCTGTAGACATCCCACCACCACCCCCTCCATCTATTGCCACCACCGCCACCCTCGGGGCCGCTGTTATTTTCAGAGCCCGGAGCTCCCGCCACCCAGGTAGGAGCGGGGTTCTCCCGGGGGTCCCCGCTCCGCCGGGGAAGCCGGGTGGGCGGCGGTGCCTGGCGGGGCGGACCGGGGAGGCGGCCCCGCCGGAGGGGGGGCGGTCAGGGGCCGGGGCCCCCCCGCCGCCCGGAGCGCGGCCCCCGGCGCTAACAATAGGGCGTGTTTTTCTGCTGGTTTTTTTCCTCTTGTGCTCCTCAGGAAATCCAGCCCGATTTCCAGGGAGAAAATAAGAAGGAACCGTCCCTGTCTGACAAGCACCAATCTGCTAAAAAACATCTCCCTCGACTTCTCTTCCCCTTGATAAAACACTTCCAGGACAATCAATATTTTATGATGAGTTGTTAATAAGCCTAATATATTCATCCGTGCTCCAACGGGGCTTGTTAGATTATGCAATTAAGATAAGCAATTTAAACAGCACTGTGTAGCTCCTCGCTGGTCACATTCGTCTTGTTGTTGGAGGAGGAGAACGATCGGGACTGTAAAGGGATGTCGGATCGCCTGGGGAGGGGGGAGGATTGTCTTTTTTTTTCCCCCCCTCCCTTTTTTTTTTTCTTTTTTTTTTTTTTTTTTGCGTGCAGCCGGAACCGAGAGCTACCGGGGCTCTCCCCGCCCGTAACCCCGCGGGGCTACCCCGCTCCGCCGCCCATGGACGCGCTGCTTTGCGCGGGGCCGGCGGCCGCGGGGCTGCACCGCCCGCCCACCCCCCGAGGGCAGTGCCCCCGCGGTGGCCCCCGCCCCGCTCATTTACGCCTCCGTGGCTTCCCCAGAAGAAAAAGAAACCCTCTTCCTGCCGCTCTCCCTGTGCCTCCAGCCGCCCCCCGCTCGCCTCGGGGCGCCGGGGGGGCCGTGCGGACGCTGCGCGGAGGCAGAGCGGCAGCCGCCCCTCCCCGGCCCCGCCGCGGCTGCGGGGGGGAGCTCGGGGCGGGCGGCGCGGCCCCCTCCCGGCCCCGGGCAGCCGGCGGCGCGGCACGTCCCGCCGCTCCGGCGCGGCTCCGGCTCCGCGTTTTGCGAGCGGCCGCGGTGTCAGCCGGGGAGCGCCGAATAACAAAGGCAAGTTTGAGAGCAGCCGCCGCCGCACAGGCTGCGGTGACGTCAGGGAACAATGCCGCTGCCAACCCGCCCGCCCGCCTCCCCTTAAAGGCGCACCGGGCGCTGCCGGGGGCCCCGCCGCCGGACAAGGGGATAGAGACAGGGGAGGGGGCGCCTGTGCTGGGCCCGCACCCGCCCGCGGGTCCCTCTGGCACTGCCCGCCCGCACGGGGAGCGGAGCCCGTGCTCCGCGTCACGGCTCCTTCCCTCCCGCGGCCTCCGCCGCCCTGATCGCTGCCCTCAGCTGCCCGGAAGACGCGGCGGCCGCTCGGGCGGGAGCGCTCGGGCCGGGCCGGGCCCCCCGTCCCCGCGGCTGTGCGGGGCAGGGCGGGCCGGCGGCGCGGCCTAAGGGCCCGCTCCCCTGTCCGCACGGCGAGCCCTGTTATCCGTCAAAGGAGTGTTCTGCCAAAGGTCCGGGCCCTAAGAGGCCCAGGGGGCCAGGACCTGAGCGCTTCCAGCGCTTTCGGCCCCTGCTCCAGCGGTGACCCCTCGCCTCTCCCTTGCGCCCTCCTGTCAGAGCCACACCAACCCCCGGGATTGCAACCTGCAGTCCACTGACTTAAACAGCACATCCTGTCTAGTCAATGAAACCCATTTCACTCCTGCACAGCATTCCATGTCCATTATTAAAAGAGGCACAGAATAAACCCAGCCTTTTAGGTAACCAACAATGGCACTGTAGCAATATACTCATGTCCTAATAATCATACAGGTGTCAGGGTATCATACCTTAATAGTAAATTAATTTGCAATTAATATATTTTTAAGGCATCGGCTTGGTAAGGTGTCAAAACTTTTGTCTTGGACACGGGTGAAGTCAAACAGTAGGTTTGATTGCTAGAACCTTCTTGCAGAAATAGAGGAATAAAAAATTAAACCTATCTCTGTGCAGAACAGCAGTTACAAGGTCATAGCCTGTCCACTGTATTTAAGCATAATTTCCACTGATACCATCCAGGCAGAAAGCAGATTGGTAAAAACACATTTACTTTTTCAAGATTTTTGTAGGTTTTTTGCAGACTACGTTCCACATCTGCGCATCATGCAGGATTTACCAGCTGCATCACCCTGCCTTCCTTCAGAAACCAAGTCACCTGATCAGTACAGTACATGGCTAGGAAAATAAAGGTCTTGCAGGAAATAAGTGTAGTGATTTAGCAGATGCCATTGTGCCCTTTGAACCTTCCTCTACTAAATCGGGGTTTGCCACACACTGTTCAGAGGCACCCAAGGGGTTGGAAGTGATACCAGTTCACAGGGGATGCGCAAACGCAGCCTTTGGCACTTGCAGCCCTTCAAGCTCAGACAGCATTGCAGTGACAGCATGTGTTAACTGGTGTCATGGCCAGATCCCAACTGCTACACCTGCCCATACAGAGCACTTCACCTTCTCAGTCCCAAGAGACATTCCCCATTTCCTGCATTAGTCACCCACAAGGTTTTGGCCCAAAAGTGGTTGCAGCAGTCAGTTTATCTAGTGTATTTACCAGTTTGTTTGTAAATTAAATTCCCTGAAGATTAGGAGGGCCTTAGTTTTCTCTGACCTGTGTTGATATGATTCATGAATTTAGAAAGGTGCCACTAATGCATGTTGATGTACTTTTTTTTAGCCAGGGGCTGGACTAATCCACTACAAAGAACTTTTATAGCTGCTCTAATTCACTGCCAATTGCCTGCTGTGGCATAAAGGGTGGACTGGCCACTTGGACTGAAAAAAAGAGCTAGGAGTTTACATGTATGGCAGGACTGGCTTAGGGTATTCAGTTTTGTCCCAAGAACAACCTTCCAAACAAAACCCTCAATTAGGCCGATCAGCCTAATTTTCCAATGCCATTGCAATGTCAGAGCAAAGTAAAAACAGTATTTACAAAACGACCAAGGATTGGGCCCTTTTCGTTTGTTCTAAGAGACCAGGCTGCTCTTTGTGCTCTTGACAATTCTGAGATGGAGAGTTCTTGGAACAGCTTTACAACAGAGGCTGCACAAGCTTCAGTGCCTGATCTCGAATCCTGGCTTAACAGTGTTCTGCTGCTGCAGTAGCAAAGCTGTCAGCAAGCAGGCAGACAGACAGTTATCCACATTATTCCACGCTCTGTGGTGGGCCTGTCCACAAGGGATTAGACCAAATCTGCTAACCTCATTTCTGTTATATAACCTAAGACAGATCTGAACTCTTTTCTCCAGAGGATTGTATGTTAAACCAGAATATCACCTCCCCCTAACCCTCTTCAGCTGTAGCTCAAATTAGGTTTTGCTGCTATCATAATTCATACTGTACCATAATGAAAATGGAATTGATTGAGATGGCATGTAGACATTGTGTCTAGACATACCCAGGTTACTTCTATTCTAGCTTTATCAGGTAAGTGCTATCAGTGCAGCTTTTGCAGCGTAGGATTTAGTGCAGACCATGGAGGCCAAAGGGAGGGAGCAAGTGCTTAGATCGCAAGTCCACACTGAGCTATTGGGTTCTACAACCATTAGTAACTAAGCTGCCTAGTTTGAGCGCTAATTCAAGTAAACCCAACATGGTCTGCAGATGTACAATATGTACAAAAGACTGCCTGTGATCACTGCTGACTTCATAGCAGGGTCTGACATCAGTATACCTTTCTGGTAGCTGCTTGCTACAGTCACACCCGTGACACCACACCACCTGATGCTCCCCAGGTACACACTATTAACAATCTTTTGAGCCCTCATGGAACTATTCATCCATTAACACAAATCTCTGATGTGCCCTTCTGTCATAACTCACAGGCTTAGCTCAAGCAAATGCTTACTCAGATCAATAGCTGTGCTGAAGTTCAGCTAATACTACCTCAAAATGAGGGAGAACAAGTCTTTTTCTGACATAACAACAGCAAAGGATGCCAGGAATAATACTACTGGATACAGTTAAATTACACCTGTGTGAAAATGAGATTAAGTTTCAGTGAGGCAACAGCCAGGCTATATATATATTACATTGCACACAGTGACAAACTGATACAGTTTATTGAGGACTATGTCCATTTTTATCCTTTCCTTAATAGTATGGGAAAGAAAACAGGGTTTATTTGGATTCTTAAATTAGGGATGAAATTGCTATGCAAAGACATTAAGGAAATTTGCAGTTATGCAACTGGAGTCCTAGAGGAAAAAATAAACAATTTTACTGAGAAAAACAAATGGAAAACAGTTACAAGACACAAAGAGAGAAGTAGCTGGAGGTTTCAGCTTTTTCGTTTTCCTCTTACCTTTTCCTTTTGAGGTCTGAAAACATCTGCATATTGTCTTAAATTTCATGCCTCTTTGGTCCTCCTCAACCTGTGCTGCCTAAGTCACATAGTCATTTGTGACTAAAATGAGGGACTGGATTCCTCCAAAGGAGCTTCCATGTGACAGACAAGACAAGGAGCATCATCGAGACATTTTTTAGTCACTAAGGATACCCATCTTGTCTTTTCTGGGAATTTACAGTGACACATCCTTTTTACAGTGATTCTTTCTGAGCCAAGCTGCTACTTCTGCAAATTGTTCTCTGTACTCAAAAGTCC